TATATCTTGAGTTTGGAACAGCTCCCAACTCAAGCAGTTCGGTAACAGCACGCAAACAGCCTTCTGGAACGAATTAAGTTCATATCTCTAGGTACATGTTATTTTAAGTACAGTAAGTTACTCCTTCTGCTCTTTGGCCTGAAATACTGAGCCTATCATTAACATTGCTTACCGAGCTGAATACTGAGCCTATCAGTAACATTGTTATAGAGTATACATATATAATATGCCCTAGTATTGCCTGACTCCTATTCTTGTATTGAATATTTTGTGGTGTCTAGGTTTATGTAGTAACAGAAGCATGTTATTTTTTTGTAGTGGATGCTATTAAAAACAGTCATGATTATAATTTTATATTACAGTTAATAAGTTTTTATTTGTTATATGCTGTGCTGTACATATTTTTCAGATTTATAACATGTTTGATGTCTTTCAGCTGGCTGTGTTGTTATATGCATCAGATGAACCCACTAATTGGACCGGCACTCCACAACACCACTATCATTGCAATAAACGATATTTGGGTATGATTTCTTGTCATATTTTCTTAACATCCAGTTTTCATGTAACATTTTTGAGTAATTGTGGTATTTCATCTTATTATTATGTGCCTTAATATAACATGTAGACCATGTTTAATATTAAAATCCTTCTTAAAAATGTCTGAAATGGTTTGAATTCTTTAAAGATGCTGTGAGATTAATACATTATACTTCAGCACTTGAAATCACATAATTATCTCACTAAAGACTCATGTTTATCTGTCTCACCTATTATTATGTTATTTACCAAACAACATCATATACACCATGTATAATATGTATTTTGATTTGAATATAAATATTAACATTATGAATTGGAAATCCACATCATACTAGTGGTGTTTCATATTCATCTGGTGAATGTGTCGAGAGATCTGGTTGGGACTTTGAACTGAGTTGTCATAAAAAAACAAGATACAGTGGACCCTTGGTTATCGTAATTAATCCGTTCCAGAGAGTGTGACTGAAGCCGAATTTGACAATTTCTGAATTCATTTTCCCTATAAGAAATAATGTAAATCCAATTAATCTGTTCCAGACTCCCAAAAGTATTAAAAAAAATAATTTTTTTACATGAAATATAAATTTACCTACACAGAAAACAATGAGACATAAAGAATAAAACAATGATAACATGACATTTGCCTTTAGAGTATTGAAGATGGGAGGAGGGGATAGAGAAATACTGTTTGGAAGGAGGAATCCCCTTCCTTAACCCTTTGAGGGTTTCGGCCGTACTAGTACGTCTTACACGGAGGGGTTTTTGACGTACTAGTACGCATAAATTCTAGCGCCGTCAAATCTCTCGGGAAAAGGCTGGTAGGCCTCCTTATGAAAGAATGGGTCTATGTGGTCAGTGTGCACGGTATAAAAAAAATCCTGCAGCACACAGTGCATAATGAGAAAAAAAAACTTTGACCATTTTTTTGGCATAAAACAGCAGCTTTGCACTGTATTTTCGTATGGTATTTATTGTTGTATTCTAGTTTTCTTGGTCTCATTTTATAGAATGGAAGGCATATCACAGAAATTGAGATGATTTTGACTGGTTTTACAATGAAAAGTACCTTGAAATTGAGCTCAAAGTAGCGGAAATGTTCGATTTTTACCAAAGTTCAAAAGTAAACAAATCATGCCAAGCGTCCAATACACGTCAACTGGTGAGTCTAACATTCTTTTGCAAGTGCGCCAATATGATTTATACCATTTTTTACACTAATGCAGTAATCTGCATAACAGTAAATCTTCTATTTTTCGTGAGAATAAAAATTCAAAGTGGAAAGCAAAAGAATGTAAGAGGGGCCTTGAGACGTGACTAATGAACAGAGGAAATGTCATTTTATTGCCAGGAATGTATTTCTTGTTTGTTCTGGACCCTATTCGGAAATTGGCATTTTTTGAAATTTGTGTGAAATTGGCAAAATTGCTAAATTCTGACCACTGTATTGGATAGTTGAAAATGGTAAATGGGTGGTTTCTTGCACTCATTCAATAGAAAAAATGTAGTTCTAGCGAAATATTCATGTTTTTTGTCGACTAGTACAGTGGAATTGGCCAAAAATGGGGCTCAAAGTGGGCAAAATCGCCGATGTTTAAACATCGCCGAGACCGCTAACTTCGCGAGAGCATAATTCCGTAAGTTTTCCATCAAATCTCATAATTTTGGTGTCATTATGATCGGGAAAAGATTCTCTATCTTTTCATAAGAAAAAATAATTTTTTTTTTTTTTTAAATTTGGCCGACCCTGAGAACGAGTTTCTGAGAGGGCCTGTCGACCCTCAAAGGGTTAAAGACTTCAGGTACCAAGTCCTTTTCCAGGGTTACGTCTCTTCTTTGTTTTTTAATGCCAGAATGAACCATCTTTAGAGTCACTGAACCCTTGTCGCTCAAAAAGTGTTCCAGAGAGGTTTGTTTCTGGCGTATGTTAGGAATTGTGGCAGCGGCAGGGGAGTGTGTTGGGAGACAGGATAAGATCGTCCTTCAATATGACACAAATATCAACTCTGCGGCTTATTTATCTAGCATAATTCATCTAATATGCATAATAAACAATATTAATAACATAGAAACATGATATATACTTTCAAATGAATAAAGTATGTCATATGTCTCTCTCCCTAACCAACGAGTGTTGTTGTTGGGTGTATGAGGGCCATTGAAAGATAAGCCCCACATAGTAGTGGTGATGGCAGCAGCAGAGGCGGTAGTGTTAGTATTAGCCCTATATACCTCCAACAGCATTGGAGAAGTCAGTTTCGTGCTGTCCTTTTTCTATCGATTAATTGCTTAACTTATTTGCTACACTGTTAATGCTACACTTTATCGCTGGCTGGCACTATAGCCTTTATTAACTCCTGCTGTTTTAGTATCGTACATATCACAGAATCGCTGAAGAAAGCATATTCTTCCCTCTCTCTTAGCCCTTTACCAAAGAGCTGGCTGGCACTAACATCTTTTGTGGGGTCCATGGTGGTTTATTTAGCAATTGCAAGCACTAAAAAGAATGGAATATGAAATGTATCGTATGAACTTGTGGGATCATGCTCACTGCCTGATAAACAATGGCACACTGAGTGTTGGGGTGCTGTTGCTGTGCGGATGCATTAAGGACAAATGACTATTACTGAGCTCATTGATGATCACTGAGCCAATATTTTGACAAAAAAAAGTTACGATTTCCAAATATTACGAAATCTGATGACTACGACATCCGGGGTCCACTGTATATGAAAGTGAAAATTAGGAACCAAACTGTAATGTGAAATCTTAATTATACTGTATTTATGGATTCAATGAAGGTGCACCATTATATGAGATTTTTATTTATTATTATTAGCATACTGGCCGATTCCCACCAAGGCAGGGTGGCCCGAAAAAAGAAAAACTTTCACCATCATTCACTCCATCATTGTCATGCCAGAAGGGTGCTTTACACTACAGTTTTTAAACTGCAACATTAACACCCCTCCTTCAGAGTGCAGGCACTGTACTTCCCATCTCCAGGACTCAAGTCCGGCTTGCTGGTTTCCCTGAATCCCTTCATAAATGTTACTTTGCTCACACTCCAACAGCATGTCAAGTATTAAAAACCATTTGTCTCCATTCACTCCTATTAAACACACTCACACATGCCCGCTGGAAGTCCAAGCCCCTCGCACACAAAACCTCATTTACCCCGTCCCTCCAACCTTTCCTAGGCCGACCCCTACCCCGCCTTCCACTACAGACTGATACACTCTTGAAGTCATTCTGTTTCACTCCATTCTCTCTACATGTCCAAACCACCTCAACAACCCTTCCTCAGCCCTCTGGACAACAGTTTTGGCAATCCCACACCTCCTCCTAACTTCCAAACTACAAATTCTTTGCATTATATTCACACCACACATTGCCCTCAGACATGACATCTCCACTGCCTCCAGCCTTCTCCTCGCTGCAACATTCATCACCCATGCTTCACACCCATATAAGAGTGTTGGTAAAACTATACTCTTATACATTCCCCTCTTTGCCTCCAAGGACAAAGTTCTTTGTCTCCACAGACTCCTAAGATATGTTACTAAATTTCCTTTGGAATTAGATATAATAGCCAATGATAAAAATAGACATCACTAACTGGACAAAATTTACATCCTAGTCCAAGTATCAGTTGTCTCATACAATAGTTTGTACTCGGATATAATTCTTTAGTCTTCGGAATACTGTACAAATCACAGAGTTAAATTCAGTTTCATGCATTCAGCCAATCATTCATTATCTGTCTCTGAAGGAGGGAAGAATGTGCCAGATTTCCAAAGATGTTTGAAAATGAATGAACGATTTTTTTATTTGGTTGAACTCCTCAAGGGAGGTTTGTCTTTTTGTATTTTCCCATTTAGGTGTTCTGAACATAAGACAAGGGAAAACGAAAGGGAGGAAGGGAACAAAGGAGGGAGGGACAGATAAATTGTATGTGGATGTGGAATCTATCAGTAATTTGTGAACACTAACTTTTTTGACAATATCTCTTAAAATATCGCTTGAAACTGGTTTATATTGACATTCATAAGAAAGATTAACCATTAGAAAGATTTTGGCATTTTTAACCGAATTCCTTTGGTTTATTTTGAGTTTGAGTGTCTTGTGCCGAGTCAGAAAATGGACAGCCAGCTTGATTTTTTAACAATATCTTGAAAAGGTTGGAGGGAGGGGATAAAGGAGGGCAAGGATCTTGAACTTCCAGCAAGCATGCGTGAGCGTGTTAGATAGGAGTGAATGGAGACGAATGGTTTTTGGGACCTGACGAGCTATTGGAGTCTGATCAGGGTAATATTTTGTGATGGGCTTTAGGGAAGCCAGTTAGGGAAATGGGAAGTAAAGTGCCTGCACTTTAAAGGAGTGGTTTGGGGTATTGGCAGTTTGGAGGTACAGTGGACCCCCGGTTAACGAACTTTTTTCATTCCAGTAGTATGTTCAGGTGCCAGTACTGACCGAATTTTTTCCCATAAGGAATATTGTGAAGTAGATTAGTCCATTTCAGACCCCCAAACATACACGTACAAACGCACTTACATAAATACACTTACATAATTGGCCGCATTTGGAGGTGATCGTTAAGCGGGGGTCCACTGTATTTCTAAACTGTCGTACCTGAGCACCTTTGCAAAAACAGTGATTATGTGTGTGATGGTGATAGTGTTGAATGATGATGAAAGTATCTTTCTTTTTGGTCACCCTACCTTGGTGGGAAATGGCCAATATGTTAAAAAAAATTTATAAATATCACTCTGAACTGGTTAATATTGACACTGATCAGAAAGTCTTAAAAGAAAAAAAAAACAGATTTAGGTATGGGAAGTCAGTGAGCTTATTTTAAATGAAATCCTATCTGAAGTTTTCAAAAAAAGTACCATGCATAAAGTCCATTGAAACTGGACACCTGGCCAGATGAAGTTGGGCTCATACTTAGTTGGGACTAGGGATGGAGGGAAGGAGGAAAGTGTCATGGGAAATAAGTATTTACAGGTTCACTTGACTTTATAACAATGTCTTTAAATGTCACTCTAAACTGGTTTATGTTAAGATTCATAAGATATCCTTAACAAAATGAAAACAGATTTAGTTCAGAAAAACCCATCTGTTGAATAATGGCTGAAGCTCCAGTATGCCAGTGGATGTTTAACCAGTAAATGGGGTCATCACTTTAATACCCACATCAAGAGATATGGTGGTGCTCCCTGACTTGGGGTTGGAGGGGAGAAGGAAATGTAAGGTAGAAGCCAAATAATGGGTAAATAATTGCAATTGTTTAATTAATACTGGAGCCTACTTTAGTATATTTAAGTAGCTTGCAACATATCAGTAGGATGGATGTGTACAGTATTAACCTTTAACTCACAAGCTGTCTCCCATCCAGGTAAGGTGACCCAAAGAGGAAACACATTTACTGTCATTCATTTGATTGCTGTCTTGCCAAATGTGGGCAGATATCATATACTTGTGACCTGTTGCAAGAGTCCAGCAGCCCAGCCTGGGGCCAAAGAATGAAGTTTTAGTGTTTCCAAGATTTTCTCTCATCATTTTCATTTTTCCTTGATTATTTGTATGACCACTTAGTTTCTCTGCTTTCCACACATTGGAGATAATTACCAGGGAGGGGAACAAATATTTTATCATGCCAGGGTTTCTTAAAGGTGATTTTGTGCATTACACAATTTGTATTATATTGGATCCTATTAGCTTTGCATAATAAATCCTCAATTTGATCATTATATGAGAACAACATTGCAGTCTTTGACTCTCTAGCAAGAACTGCAAAGCTGTTCAGTTCATCTTGCTCAAAGTTCATCTCGGGTTTTAGGTGATATAGGCAAAAAGTTACCTTTTTCACTTCAGTTGCTTTATGATGTTTTTTGGGCTGTCAGTGATTGACCTATAAGTGTCTTCTCCCTATGAATTCTACAAGGTGTGGGACTGATTTGCAGCTATTATCTTCACACTTCAAATGCCCATCAAGTTGAATGCATTCATCTGACAGTGCCACAGTATTTTAAGCTTATTAGTTGAATTAAACCCATTTAGGATCTGGTTCCAAATGATGATCAAGTTTACACACACTAGTGACTGCAGACAGTTATGCAGCACTGCAGCCTCGCTCTAAGTTGCTGGATTTTCACATACATCTTCAGTTGAAGCTAGGATTATGTCTTGCCAAGATTTATTTATACTCTTGATTGTCCCTTCACATACAAATCATTTTATAGTTAACAAACTTATAACAATATATGTGTGTGTGTGTGAAGTACCAGGTAAAACCACTACCAGTCCTACTCTGTTTTCCTTAGGCCTTGTAGTTGTAGGCTCAGTTCCATCTTCATGATGCTAGCAAAAGAATAAAGTTTTAGTGTGGCATTCTGATTTTTTTTCTTAGTAATTTGCATGGCCACTTAGTTTGTACTGCTTTCCATACATTAAAGATAATTACCAGGGAAGGGAGCAAATTTTGATCATGCCAGGGTTTCTTAAAGGTGATTTTTCTGTATTGCACAGTTTGTATTATGTTGGATCCTATTAGCCATGATAAAATTTGCTAAAATCAATGAGATTTTAATAGTTTCCATGAATTTGACAAAGTTGGTAACAATCTTTTGATAAAATTCTTTAAACTCTACATTGAATATTCTAAATTTACTGCAAACTGCTGATATGAAAAAGTACTGTACCTTTCCCTGGGCCTGAAACAGTCTTGTCTGGTGCTTGCCAGAGCAACCAGACAGTTGATGCTGGTGACCAGTTGTCCCATATATCAATTACAGCCTGGCTGATCAGTACTTGGTAGTTTCCCCCTTGAAGACTTCAACACTGATGGCTTAAATCTTCACTAAATTTACTTTTTCAAAGCCAAAACTTTAATCATTGAGCTCACTTTGATCTTGTGCAAAATTTTGAAGGAGTTTATACCAGGAAATTAGCAATAAATCATTAATGATACCACAGTATGGCATACAACGACATCAAGAAACCTGATCATAACAGGTAGCAAATTTCCATGAGACTACACTAATGTTATGTTTTTCTTACACTTGTGTTGCACCTCCTTAAATTTCTGTCCTTAGGCCTTGTTCTAGCTGGCCTATATTGGAAATCCACTTCTGCATACTGTATTTAAGAAATTGAATATTCTTTCTGAAAGCTGATGTAATATATATGGTACTAACATTGTGCCAAAAAATTTTCTTGGAATCTGCACATTTCTAACTCATTTGTTAAATAAATAATTGTTTCAGCTTTTTAATTTTGTTCTGTACTGGGTTCTTAGTTACAATGTGTACTAATAACTGGTATTTCATTTTTTTTTTCAGGGTAAAAAATAATCGCAGAAGCCAGACTGCTGTCACTGAGTGAGGATTGAATTTTAGTTGTAAAGGATGCAAAGGTAATGGGTTGTCATATAATGATATTGCATCAGGTCAAGCTGTAACAAAAAACATTTTATGGCAATGTTCATGAAAATCACCTGTAAATTATTTGCTTTATAATTTTGTTGGAGGAACAAAACAAAAGTAGGTACATTTATTATTACAAAATACTTAAATGAATACCATTGGAAGGTATTACATTTGCTTTTCCTTGATGTTTGCCAGAATAAGATATGCTAAATGTTATTTAATTTTTTTATAGCATGTTATGGTACTTGAATGCACCTTTGAGCAAATATTAGTAATATTTTTTCCCGGTGTTGGATGTTATTACAAGGTTCATCTATTACAAAAAATATATAGGAACTGAATGTTTTGTAGGATCCAGCTGCAAACATTAGGACTATACTAGCATCCTTGATATTTTTCCCTAAGAAACATATATGGCAACAAAAAAAAATAACCTGATAATGCTTTTATCATTAAATTCTGAAGTTGAAGACTGTACTTGGTAAGGGGCTGATACTAAGTCACATTGTTAATTCTACAAATATTTCTAAGAGTACCTTAATACTGGGCAGCATATGTTTATAACCTAATGTAAAAATACCTTTTTGGGTTTTTAGCATGTTGGCATTGCTATTTTGTAGAAAAGTGTCTAGAGCAGCTATTGTTGTTAACATTCCGGTGTCCATGTAGAGTACTGTGATCGAGTGATGCCACATATATTGTATTTTATTTTGAGTGCTACTCTATTAAAAGTGCAATGTAAATTGTTCAGGGCCTATTTTGAGAACTTATTTAGGGAATAATCTACACAGTTTAAATTTAGGGCCTCTAATTTATGGTCACGAAAAAATTAAGAACAAAGTGTGTATATATGTATTATATATATTTATTTTTATTATATGAATTGATTGGTTATATATCAATATAACAGGTAATCATATCCTGTGAATGTGAGTATTCATAAATGTTTGATAATATTTGTGACAGGATTATTGCTAAACAGGCCATTAAGTCAGTGTCATATTAAAGCTATCATAAACTTATTATATTGTCTTACTTTCCTCTGTATAATAACATTATTATTGTCATTGTAACTGCTATATGTTCTTATCATTTACTAGGGTACAAGGATCAACAACAGTAATGAAGTGTGTTTGTGTACAACAGTTCTAAAACTGATTCATTAATTTTATTTAGGTATTTTTTAAGGCATTTGGCAAAATACCAGCTCTGTGGGATTTCTGGGAAATTGCCTTCTTGCTGGTGAAGGGCTCTTGATCTAGGGAATTTTGGAGCTGCCCTCTTTGGATCAAACCTCGGGGTTCTTTGATGTCAGCGAGGGGCTTTTGTTCTACAATGGGTGGTTTTCCTCTTTTTGATTTTTGAAACCCTTCCCATTCATATTTATAAATTTTTAGCATTCCAAATTTAAAAATTCTTCTTGGATTTTAATTTCCCCTTTTTAAAAAGGGCTTGGACTATTACCCCCAAACAAACCTGTTTCCCCTGTGTAAGGGGCTAAACGGGAGTTTGTTTTATTTACCCCTTTCACCAAATTTAAACCAATATTTTACATTTCAGGCAGAAAAATTCATCCACGGTTTTAACCAAAATAGAAACAAGGGAGACTTTCAACCAGTCAAAGGGGTTTTCGGGGGAAGGAGATTACCAAAAAAATTTGGATTAAAAATCTTCCCATTTAAACCTGGTACAGTGAAGAAAGGGCCCCACTAACTCTTAAACCGGTTACTGGGGGGGGAATAGCCTGAAGGGGTGGACAGGGCCAAAAAAGGTTAGTACAAACAAAACCCCTGGGGGATTGAACCCCTCTAGGCTAAAACCGGGTTAAATTTTTTTAAATTCCGGGGGTTTTCAATCCCGGGGGGGGTTAGGGTTTTTTTTTGAATGTGTATTAGTTTCTGGCCATGGTTACGTATCTTTGCATCCCACACCCCCCCCCCCGAGAAGGTTTGGATTAGGTTTGCCACCTCCCAGTGGTAACCGGCCGCCATGGACAAAATAAGGGACCGCCTTTCCTCTCCACCATCCAACTTTAGATAGAGCTCAGCTTTTCTCGTGACAAAAAAAAAAACCCAAAACCAAGTGAGCATAGTCAGTCAGGCTAGCATAGGTCCAAGATACAGGGGGGAGGTACCCCCGCATCCCCAAAAAAAAAAAAACCCCAACCAGGGGGAAAAAAAAAAAAAAGGGGGAAAGGGGTTCACAAAAAATTAAACCCAAACCTAAAAAATAAAAATATTAAACTCTAAAAAAGATCGCCAACACTTTCTTTCCGGAATATATTTTAAATTTTGAGTGAGATGGGTTTCAGTTTAGCCCCGGGGGCCTTGTGTTGTGGGTTTTTCATGGCTTGGGGTATACAGGGAACCCCCCTGGGCCCCCCCACGTTAAACCTAAAATTTTGGGAAAAAACCCCCCAGGGGTTTTTTGTTAAGGGTAACCCTCGGGGCTAACTTTGGGAAAAAATTTTTTGGGGAAATCCCCTCAGAAAAACTCCCCAACCCCCCCAAAAATTTCCCCGTTTTGAAAAAGGTTTGGAGAAGTCTGGAGACAAAAGAATGGGGCAGTACACAATCTTTTTGCTTTATTAAAAAGCAGTGTTACAGTCTGGGTCCAATTAAAGGGAACTTTGTGACTGGTAAGGAGGTAAGAGGGGCTACAATTTTCTGAGAAATTCTTACAGAATCTGTAAAATCTATCATGCCTAGGAAACGAAGAGATTTCCTATCATGAGGGAACTGGTTTAATCTTTAATAGCAAGAACTTTACAAGTTTAGGTGCAACTTTACCAATACCTACTTCATGGCCTAGAAAAGTGATAGTGGCCTGGCCAAAGGAAGATTTAGTTTTAAAACTGTTAAATGGGAACTCTTAAAGGTCTCAAAAAAAGACTTAAGTCTAAGTAGGTGTTGATCCAAGTATCAGACACCACAACAATATCATCTAGGTATGCTGCCGTGCCTTCAAGCCTTTAATAGCCTGATGGATAAGTTTCTGGAATGAAGAGGGGGAATTTTTCATTCCGAAGGGGGTAACTGTGTATTGATAATGACCTGGAATTACAAAGGCAGAGATTTCCTTCGCCTTATTCGTCAAAGGTACCTGATAGTAACCTTTTAGGAGACAAACTTGGACACAAAAATAGCCTTCCCCACAAATTTCAATTACGTCTTTCTAGACGAGGAAGAGGGTAAGCATCTGTAATTGTGACCTCATTCACCTTACGGTAGTCTGTACACATACAAAACCCTCCATCAGCCTTCTTCACAAGGATGCACGGTGAAGCCCATGGACTAGAGGACTCCTCCACTAAACCATGCTTTAACAAAAATTCTACTTCCTGCTGAAGTAGCCTCTGCTCTTCAGGATTAGCTCTGTAGGGGGAAAGTTTAATTGGTTTAGAGTTTCCACATCTACATGATAACCTAACGTACATTTTTTCTGCACATCCGAAAAAATATTAGGATATGACTGTAGAACCTCAGTTAAATTTGTTGCTTCTGTTTCAGATAGTCCCTCCATTAAAGGGCTAGGATCCTTGAGGAGGACAGAATTTGAAAGTTTAATATTAATTTCAGAGATAGAGTGCAAAGAATCAGAGTCGTCCTAGGATAGGTCAACATTCTCTCCAGACAACCCTTGGGATGTTGCCCGAGTTGTGGCCAACAGCGGAGAAGAATTACTCATTATAGGTTCAGGACACGCACTAACAGTAGTAATGTTATTACCTAGTAATAACATGGCATCTTTCATGGGGAATCCTTTTGAGACACCTACAGTCAAGTACCCAGTGTAATATTTGCACTGTACATAAATTTTATGCAAAGAGACAATATATAGCTCCTCCAAATGCTTCTAATAAAACAGAGGAATTCAAGGAAGTGTTCTCTGAAAGGGGTAATATTCCTTCTCTTACAAGTGAGCAATATGCTCCAGTATCTCTAAAGGTCTTTACTTCAGTTTTTTTTTTAGTTTTCCTGAAGGGAAATAAGACTCTTGCAATAATAAGGGGCCATACCTTTTTCTACTTCTCTAGGGGACATGTTACTAGGGTATTAGAGATTTTCCCAATGGGTTGGGGTTTATGGGGGCAGTTGGGAGGGAAATGTGACCTACTTTATTACAAAAGAAGCAGAGACGGCTTGCCCTTTACTCCCTGCGGGAGTTGCAAAGGGTGTCGTTCTGGCTGGTGTCTCTCTGGATACTGTTGTCGAGATGCACCATGAGTAGTTTGCCTCTCCGCGGTGGACCATATGTTGAGAAGCGTGGCTCACCAGGTGACTTAGTTGGCTGACGTAGACGTTCTCCCTCCAGCTGGCACTTCATTCTCCAATGTTGACGATCTCTGCTCATGCCAGGCTGTTGAAAAGAGAGATGGGACCGCTCGGAAAAGGGAAAGCGGTTAGTTTCGAAGGTATCAGCCAACCTTTGGCTGCCTCCAATGCAGTGGTTTAAGTCAGATCCGCAGAAAGACTCGAAACCCCTGGTCCCACAGACTCCAACAGGTTATCAATCAGAACAAGCTGTACCAGCTCCTCAAAGGTAGACACACCACTTGCTTATACCAGTGGTAAAAGCTTTGGTTTGCTGTCTCACAAAGTCCACTAGGGATTGACCAAGCTGTCGTTTTGTCAGCTTGAAAATCTTTCTATATTTGGCTGGGATACATGTATATGCTCCAACACTGGTCTTCACTACTTGATAATCAGAAAATTCAGCATCATTTAATACTGACTAAATCCCGTGCCTTACCCAATATGCTGTATGAACCAACGATGCCCAATGCTGTTCCCGGCACCTCCCAAAGGGTCGAGCCTGATTTTCGAAGCTTTCGAAAAATTGTTCTGGTTCGGCCTCATTGAAGCGGGGGAAAAAAGCTGTACTGCTTTTTTTAAACTAAAATCATTTACAGAATGCGAAAACTGCCTCCTTTCTCTTTCCTATCAAATTCTTCCCTTGGAATGCTCTCTGTTCCCTAGTTTGCTCAAGATTGATTTTTGCCAGCTCCCAAATGCCAATGATGTGATTCACTTGAGACAACCCCCCTGCACTATACTGACCATTTTGCTCCGTAGGGTATCATCTTCCTCCTGCGAGAACATAGTAGTTTTTGCCCCAGCTCCCCTAGAGGGAGGGTCTGATGTGCCATCTCCTTCTATAAGTTTTGTCAGCAATCAGTTTAACGCAGTAGCGCAGCTGTTTAGAATGCGTTTGTATTTATGCCAATGGAACGAGCAATTTGCCAACAACCCCTGTAGGGACAATTTAGGTAGGTTATGCAAAGTAAAATGCCGGGCACCAGACGTCTGACTCGGTCTAGGTTGGCATAAGTTATTCCTATGCACAGTACGATTGCAGAATACCCCAACGTAACACGTTAATTTGCAGAACACGCTTAGCTATGCACAGTACGGGTTTCAGAATACGCATACAAGCAAAGCCGACCTGCAAAATTCTCCACACCCAACAGGCTAGTAACAACTGACACGCAAAATTTGTAAAGCAATGCCAGACAGCTACACTGTTCTAGAAGATTGACCGTAGCGAAGCGAGCACACCGAACAAGCTAGTAGCGAGCTGTTGAACAATCACACAATAGCAAGGCTGACCATAAAGCAATTGACACGCAAAATTTGTAAAGCGTAGGCAAAGCTAATGCAATGCCAGACAGCAAGCTGCACAATGTTCCTGCTATGAGCTTCACCCTAAGCTCAACCGTTTCTCTAAGTCCTGCTCCAGCTCTCGGACAGGCTACCCATATTACAACCCAGGAATCCAAATGGCCTGTTATCCCAGGTGTAATGGGAGCAAAATAAACACAGCAGAAAAAGTTTAGACTTATATTATCCTTCACCCAATTTAGAACAGCAATATGTCACTATGTACAGTGATAAGTATAGTGCACTCCACGGTAAGCAAGGGAGAAATAGAAGCCACAGATGCAGACCGTGCTTTCAACCAGCTCTAGAATTGGGAATGAAAAAGGCAGACAGGAGAATGGTACCCACATAACCTCTGCGAT